GAAACTCAGTTGGGGCAGTTGTCTATGGCTTTAAACAACCGCCCCCAGGGAACATTGCCAGCGAATACAAATATTAACCCCAAGGAGCAAAACCCAAATTAGCTGATGGCAGTAAGTCTTCAGAATGGGAGAGATTTAGACAAAGAGCAAGAGATTGCACAAGCCAGCAAAGAGACTACGCCAGCCACTCCAATTCCACTAGAGGTAGATGCACCAACAAATCTGACTAAAGTGGTAGTTGAACAGGGTCAAGATGAAAAGGGTAAGGCTAAGATAAATGAACAAGCTACAGAACAGGTGGTGCCTCTTGTGCCACAGAAATCCAACAGAGAGAAGCCAGCAAGTAGTACACAAAGGGTGATACCTGCACCATTCCCTCAGAGACCGGTAAAACAAAAGAAGGAAGATCAATACAAGAAATTCATAGAGATGATGTGTCAAATTCAGCTGAATATTCCTTTGATGGATGCCTTGAGGGAGATGTCAGGTTATGCGAAGATGATGAAAGACCTAATGTCATGGAAGTTTGATTTTACAGACCTATCTACAGTGACTCTAACGCAGACCTGCAGCATAGTAGTGACCTAGCCGATGGCTCAAAATATGTCCGACCCAAGTAGCTTCACTATTCCATGCACGATTGGGAGTTACGCCTTTGCAAAGGCATTATGTCATTTGGGAGCCAGCATAAATTTGATGCCTCTAGCTGTATACACCAAACTGGGCATTGGCAGAGCTAGAACGACTTCGATGTTGCTACAACTAGCTGACCGCACGGTAAAAAGGCCTACTGGGATTCTTGATGATGTGTTGGTGCAAGTGGGGAAGTTCGTGTTCCCTGCAGACTTTGTTATTCTAGATTGTCAGGTAGATGAGGAGATATCTATCAGTTTAGGTAGGCCATTTTTGGCCACTGGGAGAGCCCTAATCAATTGTGAGACTGGGGAATTAAAAATGAGACTGAACGATGAAGAAGTCATATTCAATGTTCAACAATCTATGAGGAGACCCAGTAAATATGCTAATTGCTCTCTAGTGGAGGCAGTGGATGTGATCCTGCAAGAAGATGATGTGACCCTGACTGCTAAAGATCCATTTGAGGCAAGTCTGACAAATTTAGAAGAAATGGATGGTGAAGGGTTGGCTGAGTGGGTCATGGCACTTGAAGGCTAAGGATTCTGGAAAAGGGAACCTCAGTTCGAGTCCTTTGAGTTAGAAAAAAGGGCTACACCTCCAGCAAAGCCATCGGTAGATGAACCACCCAAGTTGGAGCTGAAGCCACTTCCAGATCACCTCAGGTACGTTTTCTTAGGCCTCGATTCTACTTTTCCTGTTATTATATCATCCGGTTTGTTAGATGTATATGTAGAACAGCTCTTACAGGTACTGCAGGAAAGCAAGATTGCCATTGGCTGGACCATGGCAGACATAAAGGTATCAGCCCAGCCTTCTGTATGCATAATATTCTCTTGGAAGAAGGGCACAAACCTTCCAGGGAACATCAACGAAGGCTGAACCCGAACATGAAAGAGGTAGTAAAGAAGGAAGTGATCAAATGGTTAGATGCGGGAATCATCTTCCCCATCTCTGATAGCAATTGGGTTAGCCCTGTCTAATGTATGCCGAAAAAGGGGGAAATGACTGTTGTGCAAAATGAGAATAATGAGTTGATCTCAACTCGTACAGTCACGGGATGACGGATTTGCATGGATTACCGAAAATTGAACACAGCCACCCGAAAGGATCACTTCCCCTTGCCTTTCATTGACCAAATGTTAGACAGGCTGGCCGAGCGCTCGCACTTCTATTTCTTGGCTGGATATTCGGGGTACAATCAGATATCAATAGCCCCCGAAGATAGAGATAAAGCATCCTTCACTTGTCAATATGGCATCTTCGCCTTTAGGAGAATGCTTTTAGGGCTTTGCAATGCACCAGATACATTTCAAAGGGGCATGTTAGCCATTTTCATAGACATGTTGGAGGGTATTATGGAGGTCTTTATGGATGATTTCTCCGTGGTGGGAGATTCATTCGAGGATTGTCTTCACAACTTAAGAAGAGTGCTCAAAAGATGTGTGGAGACAAATTTAGTATTGAACTAGGAGAAGTGCCATTTTATGGTACAGGAAGGGATAGTCTTGGGACATCAAGTGTCCAGTAAAGGAATTGAGGTCAACCATGCTAAGGTTGACGTGATTGAAAAATTACCACCGCCCACTTCAGTCAAGGCGGTGAGAATTTTCCTTGGGCACGCTAGTTTCTATAGGCAATTCATAAAATATTTCTCCAAAATTGCTAACCCATTATGCAAACTCCTTGAAAAGGATCACCCCTTTGTGTTTTCTAATGATTGCAGGTTGGAATTTGAGGAGCTGAAGAAGAGATTGGTGATTGTACCCATCATTGTTGCTCCCAACTGGGAGCAACCATTTGAGCTCATGTGCGACACAAGTGACTACACCATAGGAGCAGTCTTGGGGCAGCGACAGGGTAAACTGATGCACCCGATTTATTATGCAAGCAGAACGCTGAGCGATGCACAATTCAATTACACTATGAAGGAAAAGGAGATGTTGGTTGTTGTTTTTGCATTCGACAAATTTAGGTCATACTTGATTGGATCGAAAGTTATTGTTTACACTGACCATGCAACAATTAGGTACCTGATAGAAAAAAGGAGTTAAATCCACGCTTGATTCGTTCGGTTCTTCTGTTACAAGAATTTGATCCGGAAATACGGGACCGAAAAGGGACAGAGAACCAAGTAGCTGACCACCTTTCAAGGTTGGAAGGAGCTGAAAAGAAGGTAGAGGTTGAGGATATAACAGAGACATTCCCGGATGAACAGTTACTGGCAATGACAATGGAGGAGGCACCTTGGTATGCTGATATTGCTAATTATTTAGCAAGTGGTATTGTACCTTATGAACTCTCCTCAATTAAAAAGAAAAAGTTCTTTCGTGATTGTCAATATTATCATTGGGATGAACCTTTATTGTTTAAAATATGTGTAGATAACATGATCCGACGGTGTATCCCCGAGAAAGATCAACATTCTGTTTTGCAGGCTTGCCATGCTTCATCATATGGTGGACACTTTGGAGGAATTCGGACAACAACTAAGGTGTTGGAGTCAGGCATGTACTGGCCTACTCTATTTAAGGATGCCCATGCTTGGGTTAAAAGCTGCGATGAATGCCAAAGAACTGGCAACATATCTTGTAGACACGAGATGCCAATGACCACAATTCAAGAGGTGGAGATTTTTGACATGTGGGGGATTGACTTCATGGTGCCATTCGTCAGCTCGTATGGTAACAATTACATATTGGTAGCAGTTGACTATGTCTCCAAGTGGGTCGAAGTAGTTGCTCTCCCGACCAATGATGTTAAGGAGGGTACTAGGCTTTCTAAAGAAGAACATTTTCACGCGTTTTGGTACCCCCAAGAGCTATACTCAATGATGGCGAAACTCATTTCTGCAATAGAGCATTCGCACGGCTGATGAAAAAATATGGAGTTCGTCATAAAATGACCACCCCGTACCACCCACAATCAAGCGGGCTAGTTGAAGTGTCCAACAGGGAGATTAAAAGTGTCCTCACAAAAACATTGAATGTAACAAGGACTGACTGGGCAAAGAAATTGGATGATGCATTGTGGGCATACGGCACAGCCTTCAAAACCCCAATTGGTATGTCACCGTACAAGTTGGTGTTTGGCAAGGCATGCCACCTCCCAGTTGAGCTAGAGCATAAAGCACTTTCGACATTATNTTTTTGGTTTTCACTTTCGTTTTTGAGTTTGATTGGTGAAGGGGCTGTGCATTGCATGTTTGAACGGTGTTATTTGTGGGTGATTGAATGAAGTAAGTATGGGGTGTGTTGGTGTGGTAGTATACTTGATTGGGGAGGAGCTTTGATGTACCCATGAGGGCTATACGTGTTTGGATAGTGCCTTGCTCACAAGGTGTTTGGGAAATTGCCCCAATGGAGATATAAGGAGCTATTGTGACATGGTTATGGTGAAGTCTGAGTAACCATCCATAGTCACATATTTTGCGCACTCATTAATAGGCGTTTCGTTGTATGACAGCTACAATGAGTTCTTCCAGGAAGAGACGAAACACCGGACCCTCCATTAGTGGACCGGGAAGCTCCTCACGAGCTAGGAGCCAAGTCAGTGCACCTCAGTTCGATAGCACTTGGTTTGTATCCAGGGCAGTNAATCAGAAGATGGGACAAATAAGTTCACAGTAAATGGGCAAAGGTTGAAACATTACCTTGGCATGGCTGAAGAAAAAGGGGATAGAGTGGTAATCACTTTGGGAGAGCCCCAGTACGCAGATGAGGAGTGATGATCAAATGCTTGCATCGTGCCGCGACGTTAAATCAAGCGTTGCGTGGGAGGCAACCCACGAGGGTGTTGTTAGTGTGTTCATGTAACTTCATATATTTAAAAAAAATCAGCGCTAGCACCGTGACCGCGGTGAACCGCGGTGGAAGGCAAACATTCTGCCTCAGATTTTTCATCTCACCGCGACCGCAGTAGACATCGGTGAACCGCGGTGAGGCGTAAACTTTCTGCCTCAGATTTTGAAACCCACCACGGCCGCGGTGGACCGCGGTCAACCGCGGTCGGTCCCAGGTAATTCTAATTTTTTTAAATTTTTTTTTTCGTTTTTCTTATTTTTTTTCCTCCTCTTTTAATTTTACAACCCAAACCACCCCACCCCACCCCTCTTAAACCCAAAACACCGATCCCCTCCCCCATATTTCCAATTTCTCTCTCTCCCTAAACCCTAACCCCTCAAATACTCTCTTCTTCTTCCTCTTCTTCCCTCATACTAACATCCCCCACTTCCATTCCTCTCCCCATTTTTCAACTACGGTATGTTCCTCACCTCTTCTTCCTCTTTTCTTTAGTATTGAGTTGTAGTTTATGTAATTTTATGTTGTGTTGGGATGTAATTGTTGGTATACTCTTTGTCTTCTTGTTTTTGGTTTTCACTTTCGTTTTTGAGTTTGATTGGTGAAGGGGCTGTGCATTGCATGTTTGAACGGTGTTATTTGTGGGTGATTGAATGAAGTAAGTATGGGGTGTGTTGGTGTGGTAGTATACTTGATTGGGGAGGAGCTTTGATGTACCCATGAGGGCTATACGTGTTTGGATAGTGCCTTGCTCACAAGGTGTTTGGGAAATTGCCCCAATGGAGATATAAGGAGCTATTGTGACATGGTTATGGTGAAGTCTGAGTAACCATCCATAGTCACATATTTTGCGCACTCATTAATAGGCGTTTCGTTGTATGACAGCTACAATGAGTTCTTCCAGGAAGAGACGAAACACCGGACCCTCCATTAGTGGACCGGGAAGCTCCTCACGAGCTAGGAGCCAAGTCAGTGCACCTCAGTTCGATAGCACTTGGTTTGTATCCAGGGCAGTGGAGGATAGGTACAACCAGAAAGCAGCCAAGAAGCTACAACCTGAGGTGCACATTGATCGAACGGCTTTGGAGGTGGAATGCCCCAATATGTTTAATGAGTTGCGGCGGTGTCAGCTGGACATCTTCTTCGAGGTACCGGAGGAGGCTAATGTTCAACTAGTAAGGGAGTTCTATGCGAACTTGCCAGAACATGAGAATGGGGTTGTGATGGTGCGCAATACCCCGGTAAATGCATCCCTCGATGCTATCCGCAAGGTATATAGGCTGCCTGTGTTTCGGGGTGACTTTGATCCTTATCGTACTTTTAGCAGAACACGGGCCTTGTGGGGCACTCTTCTTGATACTATCTGTGTGCCGGACGGAGAACACCTATGGATCAATCACAGGATTACTCTCAACTCCCACTGTCTGAACTGGGAGGCCAAGTGTTGGCTCACCATTGTCAACAATCGATTGTTGCCATCCAGCAACACGACAGATGTTAATCTACCACGGGCGTCCGCAATCCACTGTTTTATGTCCCACAGTGATTTTGATGTGGCCCGTCTCATTCATGAAGAGATGTTCATTCGATCACCTAAGCTAACCAAGGGCCACTACTTCCCTTTGCTGATCACCTAGATGTGTTGTATTGCTCGGGTCCCCGAAGACCCTCGGGTTGATAGGAGATTACCACTAAAAGCCCCATTCCGGGCGAGAAAAATTGGAATTGGACGAGAGCCGG